CGCTAGTCGTGGAGGTCACCGTGCCGGAGCCCAGTGAAGAGGAATCCGTCGGGAGCCTCAGACGGTCACCGTCGGTTGGCCGGTTCATCCAGGAAGGATCGATGAGAAGCATAGGAGGAATAGAATCGAATATATAGGTGTACGTTGTCAATCATTGTGACTATCCCAGAAGCATCGCTTTGATCATACAGTGGGCTAGCGGCTAAAGTGGGCAGTGAAGCCAAGTTTAGGAGCTTTTTGCATGTGTGACTGTGGTGACTGTGCATGGGGACACCAAATTATGATGTCGGTGAATTGTGATGTGGTGAAGTGACGATTTCCTGCGCTGGTGTTGCTGGTGTTGATTTGGTTTGAACATTTGATCACTGTCCATACCGTGACACGCGACAGATCTGATGTGTGGAGATTTGATGTGGTGGTGAAGTGCTGACTGTAAAGGTGAGCTCACGTGTTGGCCTCACGGACAAGTGGGGCTTTTGAAGAAGGAGCTAGGTCTTGAGTTCTTGAAGCTGAAGCCAAGAAACAAAACAGCTAGAAACAAGTGCCTTACTAGTAGTAACTAATTTTAAATTAATAGCTTTTTGTTACTACTAGTAAGGCACCTGTTACTACTAGCGTGGCACTTGTTACTACTAAGAAAGGTCTCGAGTTCTTGAAGCTGAAGCCAAGAAACAAAACATCCACCCCGACAAGTTACGCGTCGTTTGGTCCTGTAGCGGTCGCACACATGTGCTTTCCTTGAAACCTTTGGGCTGGCGTGCTCGCACTCTCGCACTCTCTCTCTCTCTCTCTCTGTTTGTTTGCGTGTCTTCGCGCCTTGGGTCCCAAGTTCAGAAGTGCCCGCAACTTTTTTGATCCAATCGGCTAACAACTACGCGAAGCACCAAGAGCATCGGCAGTACTGTAAATTATATACAATGCGCTTTGTATGCTTTACATTGTATGCTTTCTATACATTATGGGATTTACATGAGCAATGATGAATTGCAGGAGGTGCACTGTGCAAGATGCTGGCTGGTACACGCCAAACTCATCGCACATTGAATATCAGCATGCGCTTCATTCATGCCATTTTGATTTGTCTATGCCAGTGCAATTATATACGGTATATATATATAGTTTTATATTTTCAGGCGCTTTCTTTTGTTTCCTCGCGTTGCAGACAAGCAGTTGAACAACGCAGCAGGTTCAGATCCTCAAAGGGCTGGCTCCAAAGCAACCTGGCTAATCAGTGTGGAGTTTAAGGCTTGTGAAGCCTTGGTGGGCAATGATTTGGCTTCCCCTTGGCCAGTTGAAACCGTTTGGGCTTCAGCAATTCAATCGCTCCTGGCTTCACCCATGTGGTCGAGGTACGAACGGCACCATCAATTGCAATATGCACCAGAGGCATGTTCTTTCTTTTTCATCATGTATCGTTGTGTATATCATGTCCCGAATCCCCCACCTGAGTCTCCAGAGTTCTTGCCAACTGTTTCCTCTTGAAGAATCAGCACAGCTGCGTGTTGTTGGAGGCTTTGGAAGCATGTGTGAAGCTTGCCAACCAGTTCATAGCTGACCGCTGCTTGCCGGACAAGGCCCAAAGCCTAAAGTCGAAGAAATGAGGACTAGTGAGTGGAATATAAGGTGGAGACAATGAGGATTGAAAGAATGGGACACGGCAAATCAAGTAGCGATGCCAAAACAGGAAGAGCTAGAGGCCGAGAAGGCTCTTCAGGAAGAGCTAGACATACTGTACAACAAATTTTGGTGCAAGAGACCGAAACAGCGCCACGTCTCCTCCGACTTATGTGGCGCCCCATCTGGCGCTTTTCCTCGATTCTGACAGGGCTGTCGATGGTGACGAGGAATGGTTCCAACATGTTCCACACCACCATTTTCGAAAGGTTTGGTTACGGACACACATGAAGACCAAGGCCATCGATGTCATGGATGAAGCCGGTTCCAAGGCGGATTGCTTCTTGACACGTGCTAAACGGATCGCAATTTGGGTTTCAAGTTGAGTCCAATCTTGACGCATAAAGATGGACATTTACCACAACATATCACAACCATCCAACCAGTTGTTTCCAAACGGTTGGACAGCTGTCCAATCACTCGTGATGGAATCAACGTCGGATAGTTGTCCACAACTCTACCGAGTCTTTGTGACAGGTGCGACAACAGCTTTTCGAGGCAGCAGAGGACAGTCGTTGTTTTGAATTTGACGGTGTTCGATGGAATTATATTACAAAATTGTTTATGTGTATGTATATGTATGTTTGATGATGCAATGCCGCTTTATTTGTTGCCTTCGAGTTTTTAAATCCGACGTTTGGTCAGTTAGGCGTGAATACCTATATTGCCACGAGTGTTCTAAACGCAGTGCAGGCACGAGTTTTTATGCTCATTGCCGTTTTGTTCTCAAGGCTTTTGGTGTGGGCGCCCGCGGGCTGGTGGGACGCCTGCGGGCGAGATGCCAGGTCCTTGGATACATCTTCCAAGGAACCTGGATTATTTCAAAGAGCTTAGCGTGGCAGAAGGTGGCTACGTTGAGCTCGAACAGGTCGATGGGGAAGGACAGCCACAAGGAACGGCACTATGGCAGATCGATCATTTGATCGAGAAGAAGAAGGAGGGAATCTGGCTGTCCGGAAAGCTCATTGCGGCCACTGATGAGCACCTCCAATGGTGGTTAACAAAGGGCCCAGGAAAGGGGTACAACAGGAAATTTGTCGTCCACCTATGTGCGACACCGGCGGGTGAGTGTAGGAAGGCAAAACGCAATCGCGAGAAGGAGTTCCATTCGGATACATTCCGTGACGTCCAGGCGGGTGACATCCTGGCACGACGAGTGACTTGGTTCTCGCAGGGCGACGTGAAGGATGACATTGACAAGGAGATTGCCAATTTGGCTGGGACGACTGAACCCTATGACCCCGCAAGCAAGGGCGGGGGCCGCGACCCCGGTCCAGAGCGGCTGGATTGGGAAGGAGATGAAAGGGTGGAAGACAAGGGGGCGCCCACGGGCGAGGATATCCCTGGAAGGTTGGCGGCTTTGAAAAAGGCCGTAAGTGGAAAGGAAGCAGGCGATGATCGCCATGGAGGAGAACCCAAGAAGAAAAAGAAGCGTGATGAAGAAGAGGTCTCTGGAAAGAAAGCTGAGCGCACGAAGGCCGCGAAGCGTGCAAAGGCCAAGGCTCCTGAACCTCTTTGGTTTGGACATCCTCAGGAGGCCGAATCAGCCACCGTGTCAAGTTTGGTGATGAGAGGTCGGGTTCAAGGAGTTCGGATGATGAAGAGGATTCAGGATCGGATTTTCGGGCGGGCCCCTCCAACAAGTCGCGTCAGCTTCAGCTTCAGGAGTACTCGGAGCAACATCCGGGACGCTTGGCGGCACGGCTGTTGCAAAGGATGCAAGAGATTCTAGCTCGGCAGGAGGGGCCCATGCAAGCGAAGACCGAGCGCAACCTGACTCCGGCCACGGCAACATCGTATTTTCTCACGGTGTTGATCCCCCAGTACCGCGAGAAGATGAACTTGAGGACAAGCCGGGAGCTGAGGACATTGTGCAAAGCTCTCGACCTGATAGCAAACGGAAACTAACCCGGAATCAGCCGGGGACATCCTCGGCCAGAGGGTGAAGTCTCTAGAGCTCTACCTGTCAGATCAAGCGTGGAGCCGTGCTCAGCACTTGGAGTTGATTCCTCCGGAGGGAGTGAACCTGGTAGGAAAGGACGAGACCCTGATGGCCACAAAGGAGCAGGCGACCGAGCAGAAGATGCGGCTGCTGATAGCGGGACAACCATGGAAAGGCAACGGCAAGGGGAAGATGAACGACTTCCACCAGAAGGGGAAAGGAAAAGGAAAAGAAAAAGGAAAGAAAGGGAAGTCAAAACCGGAGAACGCGGGAGACATGCCCACGGCGTGATGACCCCCTCGGCCAACACAGACGTCGAAGAAGACGGGCAGTTCCTCCCCTTCGGTCCGCCGACGGAACAAGATGAAAGGCCACCGATCGTTCGCAAGGAGCGTGGCACCATTTCCGTTGAAGAGTATGCTGATGAAGGTTCCGAAAGCATGGTTGAAGACCTGATGGACAACCTGAAGGGATGCCCACCGAACCTCCACAACTTGGACGTTGATGAGTGTGAAACGATCAGGGAGTGGAGTCTCATGGTCAGAGAGCTGTTCAAGCAAAACGCAACCTTCGAGGACCTTGGGAAGCACTTGTATGCCCTGATGCTGATGAGTCCAACCCCGCTGGGAAACTTTGTTCGTTCGTATTGTATGGCTGCACAACCCCCCATCACACTCACTCCGAAGCGGGGTACGTCAGGAGACTTGCTACCCATTCCTCCGTGGAATATCACAGTGGATATTCCGGGGGTGTCGGAGGGAAATGATATGTGAATCAAGGCCATCTTATGTGTGATCAACTTTCACCACTGCGTTGGCTGGAGCAAGCCTATCTGTGTGCCGTTCAAGGACGGGCTGTCGGAACTACAGATTGCAGCGGTCAGTGAAATGGCCGAAGTGGTGACGAGCAATATAGTCTCGGGAACACCACTGAAGAGTTTGGGAGAGAGTGAGAAGCTCCTGAACTCAAAGAAGTATGACTACTCAGGAAACCCAATTGAATGGAGGACTTGATTTGTGAACGAGTCCTGCCGGCATGGCCGCGGCCAGGGCAAGCCGGCATCCAGCCGATTGAGGCATTCCTGAAAGAGGAAACCAAGAAGGCTTTCTCAGAGCCCAAAAAGTTGTTACTGCCACCGGATAAGATGCCGGAGCAAGGGCTTAGATTCCGTGTGCGGGCGAGCGACAGTGAATGGTTCAAGCTGGTTCATGCAGCTTATCAACGGGGCATGATGAAGCCGGTGGACGATTCCTTGGTCCCGCGGGACAGGCAAGGTCACCTGATCACCAATGGAGCTGGTGGAGTCTTCAAGGAGAAAATCATCGATGGAAAGCCGCACAAGTGCCAGCGATTCATTTCGATCCTGCGCCCAACTAATGCGGTGATGAGTGCCATCGCAGGATCGCAGGACACACTACCTTACATTGGACAGCTGACGGGAATCTTGTTGGAAGAAGATGAGGGGCTGTATCTGGACAGTGAGGATCTGCAGTCAGCATTCAACCTGTTCTCCATGCCAGACAAGTGGTTGGCCTACCTTGCGTACAGCAAGAAGGTGGACTCAGCCGCCTTTGGCATGCCTCCTGGGACGCAAGTAATTACGTCCAGCACTTTGTGTGGTTCCATTGGGTGGCACTCGGCAGTCGCCTTGGTCCAAGAGGCGGTGCGAACACTCGTCTTTGAGAAGGCCAAAATCCCTTGGCAGTACTCGATTGAGAAGCATGCCAGGCTGCCTGAAGAGAAGATCTACACGATTGTGTACTTTGACAACTTTGATGAGATTCACGTGGTAAAGTCACTGGATATGGATCTTCAAAAGGAGGGAGGAGAGCTTTCCCCCCACCATGAACAATTCATCGCAGCATGCGACGATGCGAGACTGCCCAGGAATCTTGGAAAACAGTTGGTACATGCCTTTGCTGGAGGCCTCCAAGCAGGTGAGCTCGATGGACATCGGGGAGTTTCTGAAGCTGGCAGGTGATAAGCTGAGGTGCTTCATTGAGCTGAGTTTGGCCCTACTGTCCTGTTCTCGGTGGTCGGAGTTCTATCTACGGCATTGGACGGGCAAGACCGCATTCATGGCCACGTTCAAAGGATCATTATTCTCAGGGATCGCCAATATCTTCGATTCTATTGAAAGAGCCCGAAAAGGTCCAATCAACCCGACCGCGGAAGTGATTGACGAGATTATGTGCCTGTTGCTGCAATCACCCTTGGCGCAGGTAAGCTTGAAGGCGAAGATCTCACCTGAGATCAGTTGCACAGATGCCTCTCCCACTGGCGGCGGAAGTGCTACAGCCACGGCATTCAAGAGTGGGCCAGACCCGCGTGGGCCCATGGTGACCTTCGAAGGAAAGTGCAATAACTGTGGGCACGACTTCAGCACTTCAATTCCGACAAGAACTGATGGAAGATCAAAGTACCCCTGCCCAGTGGGGTGTGGAGCTTTGGTGTGCTCAGTGAGATGCACCATTGAGCATCGCGAACACGGGTGCGCCCGGGACATGTTCGCTTGCCCGCTCTTTGGAGAAAGGTTCAGTGGACCTAACTACCCCCTCACCAAAGCTGTCGTACTGGCCGGAATAGGGGTGCAGCGTCCACTAGACCTGTTGGTCGCCGATGATCCGTGGGATTACTCGACCACGGAAGGAAAGCAGAGGTTGGACTCTTATGAAGTAGAGCCTGCCCTCATGTCCATCCACTACGGGCCCGAGTGCAAGACGTTCTCAGCGGCACGGGGAAAGCCCTTCCGATCCACTGCCGGGCGCTGGCTATCCGGACCGAGGGCATTGAGGAGTGAGTTAAAACCGTGGGGGCTGGACCACTTGAGCCCTCAAGAACAAGTTCAAGTGATTCAAGTGAGGCGAGGAAATGCGATGGCCAAGAGATCGCTGAGAGGCTTGAAGACAGCATTTGACAATGACCGCCTGGCAGCCCTCGAGCATCACTACAGTTCACATCTTTGGTCCATCTTAGAAGCGCTGGAGCTGGCCTCAAGGGATGATGTCTACCACACATACTTCACAGCGTGCTGCTTTTGCGGGGCACGAACAAAATGGACAAGCTTGCTACACAACATTGAGGAACTCCATGCCGCGTTGCATCGGCCCACTTGCCCGGGACACGACGGGCTCCTACCGTATGAAGTTCACGAGATTGATGGATCTCTGCAATTCGACACAGAACAAGAAGCAGAGTACACATGGGGACTTTGTCAGGCTTATGCTACTGGCCTGAAAAAGGTGCTCCAAAAGCGCACAAGTGTCCCGTTTGGGTTGGTGCCATGGGGCCCCAAGGCCGCCATTTTGGCCGCCTTGAAGCGTTCGACGCGTGGAACGCAGAGGTCGGACGTGGCCGGTGGAACTGCTGATGATGTTATGCGTATCCTGAGGACAATGCGCCCAGGCCATGAACGGCATCACTTGCGAGGACTGCTCAGGGAGATTTGCATCAGAGGGACTGAGGTCCGGTTCGAAGCGACTGCAGAAGATGGTTCGCTTCACCTGATGGCTCCGTATCCGGCATTCAAATGGCAATGGAAAACAAAGCTCTCGTACCCGTGGAAGCACACCCAGCACATCAACGTGCTTGAGGTGTCCGCCTTTTTGGTGGAGTTCCGCCGCCGAATGCGGGAGATTGTTCAGCTGGGTACAAGGTTCTTCAATGTGACCGATAGCCAAGTCGGCTTCTTCACCATGTCAAAGGGTCGGAGCAAGTCCCCTCGCTTGAACCGGCTCCTTCGAAGAATCAATGCCCTGATCCTCATGAGCCAAGCTATGCCCATTCACCTCTGGACGATTTCCAAATGGAACTTCGCCGACGCCCCGAGTCGGCGTTTTGAGGATCGACGGCATGGCTGAGCAGCGAAAACCTTTGCGTGATTTGGGCATTTCGGCAGGCACCTTGAGGATCTATAAGAGGGAGGTTTCACAGTTTCTGCACTACCTTGATGCATGCTCCATACCGTACCCCGCTACTTTCCAAGAATTGGACCTTCTTTTGGCTGATTACATCAACACACTCTTCCAAGAAGGTGAACCCATTTCCAAGGCTGGCTGGGTTTTGAGTGGCTTGAAACGCCTCTTTCCTCGATGTTGTAAGGAATTGCAGACTTCGCAACAATGGTACACAAACTGGGCCCGTTCACACGTGCCACAACGTGCTACCCCGATTACCTGGTCCATGGTCCAAGGGTTTGCTGGCCTTTGCATTGAACAACGGTGGTACTCACTTGCTTTGACAATCCTCTTGAATTTTGTCTTCTTTCTTCGTACCGGAGAAGCTTTGAATCTCACTTTTGAACACTTAGCACTGGAGCCGGGATCCCATTCGGTGGTTCTGAATTTGGGATATACCAAAGCATCGAAGCAATTTCAACAATTTGTTGCCCACTCAGACCCTCTTTTCTTTGCCATTGTCTCCTACCTGGTTTCCCATCTTAGCCCTGAGGGGAAGGTCTGGCCGTTTTCACTCAGCTATTTTCGAACTTGCTTTTCGGGGCTGTGCGAATTCTTTGACTTAATGTCATTGCACCTGGTCCCGTACAGTCTCCGTCGTGGCGGGGCTACTCATTTTTATGGTACGCAAAAAGCATTGGATTTTGTCATGGTTCAAGGCCGCTGGAAGGATCAACGCACTGCCAGACAATACCTCGACGACGCGCGGGCTACCTTGGTGGCTCTTCGCCTGTCTTCCACTGCTGAAGTCCTCCTTTCACATTATCGGCGTTCTTTCCTTTGTCTTGTTACTTCGCTTCGCAAATGACGAGGAGTCTCCGGGGTGGGGGTGGCTTGTGGTGTGTTCTTCCCGGTTTTTCTTCCACCCTTGACCCCTCTCTGGTTGGGCTGGTTGTGGTGTTTTCTTATGTCAATTCACTCCACTTACGAGTGTGCTGTGGTGTAAAGATTTCTGAATTTCCAAGTGTTTATCGAATTCGACGTCACTGCACCACAACCTTTACCATTGCTGGTTGTGCAGCCAAAAGAGGCTAACACTTGAGCATAATGCCACGAGTGTTCTAAACGCAGTGCAGGCACGAGTTTTTATGCTCATTGCCGTTTTGTTCTCAAGGCTTCCCTTCCCTGTTGCTTCCCCTCCCTTGTTTTCTTATGTCAATTCACTCCACTTACGAGTGTGCTGTGGTGTAAAGATTTCTGAATTTCCAAATGTTTATCGAATTCGACGTCATTGCACCACAACCTTTACCATTGCTGGTTGTGCAGCCAAAAGAGGCTAACACTTGAGCATAAATATATATATATATATATATATATTTATACGTACATATACAATACACACATATAAATAGGATTGGCGTGTTGTGGCGTATCAATTAAGGCTTTGGACTTTGTGGTGCCTGCGCGCCAGAGCCAAGCTACGGGCGGTGTTTTCAGTGTAGTCATGATATTTGAGCTGAGGGTAATATATATATTTATATGTGAATCAAAGATCATCAAAGCTGTATCGGGTCATATTGTGCTGTCGATGTTCCTGATCCCTCAGCCTGTCCCAAATATGCGAACGCAACGACCACAGATTCAGACCGCACAAAACTTGGTGATCGTTGAAACGCCTCAAAAAGTGAACAAAGGCTCAACTGACACAGTTTTGGTTTGGAGCCTTCCTGATTTGCCATTGCAGCAACAAAAGTTGCCTGAGAACTTGTGTTTCTTGAAGCGGTTTGGTCTGCAGTGTCCCCATCACCGATGACACCAAACTGATTACCGCATGTTCACTGCGACATAGCAGCAAAAAAAGAGATCCGTCACCTTTCTGCTCTGCTCTTTTGCCGAAGGAGTCCCACAATGCTGCAGAACGTTGGGCTGCAGGCAGAAATTAAAGGACTCAGGGAGGACACGTGTCAAGTCACGAAAGGTAGCTTCAGCTATATACCTGAGTTTTCCTTGCTTTAGCAACATGTATTACAGCATATTACAATTATTACAATCTGGAGTTGGGATTGTGCATTGAGTTTGGTCCTGTAAGAAGGATTTCTTCTTCACGGGGGGGCCCCCTGGATCAAATCACCCCTGCGCCGTCGCTGTTTGGGTCATAATCAAGCAGCGAACAGGAGTTCGAACAGAGCTTTGACTCGTGTACTGCAAGACCAGTGATGATGCGAATGTGAAAGATTTGCTACCTCTCGTTCATCCCCTCCTATCTCAAGTTCCACAATGCAAAAAGTGCTCAGAGTAGAACACCATAGAAAAATAAAGAAAAATAGAACAATTTTAGCAATTGCGAAGAGCAAACCTGAGCTGGATTCTATGACTATAATATTAAAATATATAATACACCCTATATACCTCCTTTTGACTTTTGAATGAATCGTCGCAGATTCGGCACTCGTGAATAAATTGAATGTTCTGAGCGTAAGCTGACAGACGGCAATGGTACTACTGAAGAGGATTGACGCATGTATGCATCAGCAAGTCATGGGGCAACTGTGCCACCTCACTTCAAGTCGCACACTATCGAGGTCGGGAGTTGAAGGAGGTTATAGAGCAGAAAAAGTTGGCGGTGAATTCAGAGCGGTACGATGAGGTGTGCGGCACAAACTTCAGCGAAATGGAGCCATTTTATCAATTACACATATGATATATCACGATATATCATACACATTGACACATTGATATGATGTCTCACAAGTATGTTCATCAACATCTTCTTTTGTGAAGCATTTTGGTTGCAACGCCTTTGAAACGTCGCAGGCAGCCCAGTTGAAGCGTCGTGAAGATGAATTGGAAAATCGTTTGGCCAGGCAGAACCGAACCTGTGGAAAAAGCAGATGACCAGATTGGCCGAGAATGGTCCTTCACACAAGTCCCAGCTCCACGGGCCCAACGGGACCGACGGGACCAACGGGCCTGGACGGGCCCGCCCTGACGGGACTAACGGGATTCACGGGACGTATGGGCCCGACGGGACCCACGGGCCCATTCACAAGTTCGATCGAGCTATACAAAACAAAGCATACTTGTTTATACATATATGTCGGTCGGTAGTTGCCAGGACAGCCTCTCGATGCAAGTGTGTGCGTTAGCCTAGCCTTTCCTCATAGGCTGGAGTTTGGAGGGCAGCCCGTGAGCCAAGAGCCAGGACACAGCACTCAAACACCAGCAATCACAATCGATAATTACCTGTGACATTTGCAAGAACAAACCAGTTCATGAAGCGACGCCCTTCAGACCCTTGAGAGCAAATGCACAGAAGAGCTGCTGTAGCAGGACGACACATTAACATGAATTCAAAAAACTCACGGAACTAATTAATGCGTAGGGTAACCTGCGAACGGGTAACCGCGACATCAAATGAGAAACATCATCTGTCATCTCTATCTCCAGGTACTCACATCGATCACAGTGAGGCTGTCTAGCGATAAGATCTTTTTCTGGCTATTGACAATATATGACATTAATTGACCAGAAGACCGACTGTCGACATGAAAAGAAGTCATGTGTGCATATCGTTGTTTGAGAGCCCGAGCCCTTGCTAGCGATTCAGCGGAGACACGGCGTGAAACAGTGCTTGATCATTTGATGGAGGCGACAGGTCGCGGACCCTCGAAACAACTAGGAAGCATTTCCGGGAAAAACTTGCGTTCCCCTGATCACACAGCATTTGTTCCCTGTACTCTATAAGGGAAATCTGTTCATAGAATCACGTGCAAACTGACGGGAACAACAGGCACGACGGGCACCACGGGAACTTCCCTGACGGGGCCGACGGGCTTGACGGGATCGACGGGAAGACACGCCCAGAGGACCATGGCCTTGAGATTTCCTTCTGTAATGATACTTGTTCGGTGGTTTGAAGTTGAATTTCTTTCCTTCTCCCTCTCTCTCTCTCTCTCCGTGTGTGCGTGCGTGTGTGCTTATATATATATATATGTTGGGTCCCTTGGTCCCTTGGTGTTGTTCGGATTTCTTTGCGTTCTTCATGTTCTACTTGATTACTTGATGGTTTTCAATTCTTTTCAATGGTTGTGTCGCTCCGCTCCTACCTTTGGAGGTTGCAGAGCAGCCCAGAGAACCAAGACCCTCAGGGGCTCTTGAAGGAGCACGTTGTGAAAGGTTGCTGCCACTCTTTGCATCAAAGAAACGCTCCAGCAGCCACTGCTACAAGCGACTGCGATGACAGTCAGCTCAGCCGCCGCTCAAGAAAGACCGACAGGAACTCACGAGCCTCGGACAACAGATTCGTGAAGCTTGAAGCCCAGAGGAGATCGATGACAGCACCTGAAAGAGTTGATTCAGTTGACAAACTACTTACATTATTAACTCGCGATGTTGGATGAATTTGGATGATGCAATGCTCAACCAAGGACATGCCGTGGGTTTTCACATGCGTTCATCAATTGGGTTGACACACACACACAACCAACATGTCAAAGTTATTGTTATATAGACTATAAAACTATAAAACGGCGCTCTCAAGGCGATCGATCGAGAGAGAGACAGACAGACAGACAGACAGACAGACAGACAGGCAGGCAGGCAGGCAGGCAGGCAGGCAGGCAGGCAGACAGACAGGCACACAGGACAGACAGACAGACAGATAGACAGATAGACAGATAGACAGACAGATAGATAGACAGATAGACAGACAGATAGACGGACAGACAGACAGACAGACAGACCGATAGACAGACAGATAGACAGACAGACAGACAGACAGATAGAGAGACAGACCGATAGATAGATAGACAGACAGACGGACAGATAGACAGACAGATAGATAGACAGATAGACGGACAGACAGGCAGACAGACAGACAGACCGATAGATAGACAGACAGACAGACATACAGACAGACCGGTAGACAGACAGATAGATAGATAGACAGACAGACAGGTAGACAG